ATGACTCCAAGGTTCCTCACAGTAGTACTGGAGGCGAGAGCTATGTCATCTAAAGTAACTATATGATTAGACAGCAGATTTCTAACATTTTCAGGCCTAAGCACAATAACTTCAGTTTTGTCAGAGTTTAGAAGAAAGAAGTTACAGGTCATCCAGGCCCTTATGTCTTTAAGACATGCTTGAAGTTTGACCAGCTGATCTGATTCATTCATTCAGATCTAGTATGGATGTGTTAGGGGAAAGACGTCTTTGAGCAGACCGGTCGAGATGGAGTCCAGGAGACATGTTAATGATTTAGATGAAGCAATTGTTGAGGTCAACTCAGAGAGATCTATGGGAGACAAGTAGTCCAAATATAAATGAGGTCTCACAGATGTTTCTAAAGCCATTGTAGTAGATGGCACATCCATGAGAGCTGTAGGAATGGTCCGACCATTTTTTCTCTAATAGTTGTGATTTTATTTGTAAAGACGTCATTCATTCATTCACTCATGAAGTCATTGCTGCTGAGATCTAAGGGAATATTAAGCTCAACAGCACTGTGGCTCTTTGTCAGCCTGGCTACAGTTCTGAAAAGAAACCTGGGGTTGTTCCTATTTTCCTCAATCAGTGATGAATAAAATGCAGTTCTGGCACTATGAAGGGCTTTCTTATATGTTATTAAACTATCTTTCCAGGCTATGAAAAACTCTTCTGACTTAGTGGAGCGCCACCTCCTTTCCAGTTTTCGTGATGCCTGCTTTATGGCTTTAGGGAGCGGAGCTGCGAGCTGTACCATGGGGCTAGCCTCCTCTGTTTCACTGCCTTCCATTTCAGAGGGGCAACGGTATCAAGTGTATTATGCAGGGAGGCTGCAGTACTATCAACAAGATTTATCGACTTGTGTGGGAGTAAAGTTAAGGTGGCCTCCTTCCACTGTGTTGGCAAATGGAGCTCAAGTAACTAATGATGGAATTATTTCCTTAAACTTGGTAACAGCTAGGGCTGTGCAATTAATCGAATCTTCGATTTCGGGGCTCAACAATCACAAAAATGGTGTAATCGAGAAAAAATGATTATTCTGTTTTTTAAAGTTATTTTGGCCTGCGTTCGCGCATCCGCACTTTCACTTTCGCTTTCTCTTTCGCCCTTCCCCTTGCGTATGTCGTATCTGATCGTATTTAAAAATCAGCACAAGGGAAGATGGCAGAAAATGAGCAGCCACAGAAGTCTTTGGTCAACAAAAAAGATAGAAAAAATTCTGTTGTCTTGGAACATTTTGCATTCAAAGAAGCAGACGTGGATCAAAAACATAGTACATGCAAGATTTGCTACGCGGTTGTGTTGGCACCGGCTGGTAACACCACAAATCTTTTCAACCATTAAAATCCAAACACAAACCAACATATGACCAACTAATAAACAAATAGAAGGACAAACATCCTCCGCAACACAGTC